TGTCACTCCCGCAAAGCTCATTCAGGAGTTTGACAAGTGACACGAACGTTTTATTCCACGTGCGATATACCCCTGCAAGTGTACACTTTGATCTGTAAACATGACTATCCCATCCCTAGAAGGAGTACATAACCAGCCGGGAGGCAGGGTTCTGTGGGGACTTCATTGGGGCCCCAGAGATGTCACATCATCGTTGAGTTCTGGCAGAGGGAACCAGGGAGCTTGCAACAACTCCATCCTTCCCAAGGACCTCTCGTCGCTATGGCCAGTGGTTTGCTGTCCCCCGCAAGAGGTTCTGCCCCTCTGCCAAAGCTGACGGGACCTGGACACAGGCCTCTTTGCCATCGGACTGGCAGTCTAACCCGGTGCCAGGAGGAAGCCTTTGCAGTCAGTCAGACTCCACTGCTGCGTCCTGGCTCAAAGCACTTCATGTGCCTCCTCTGTTGAAGGAGGGTCCTTCCTCCTTTGTAGCATGATGGTAGAGGGGAGATAGAAAATGGCAAACCGGCCCACATGATTCTTTCCATAATGACCAGTTTTCAGTTGTTTTAAGATTTCGACACTGGGAACTTCTCTGTAAGCATTCAAGTATCTGACATTCAAGTATCTGGACTTTCAGGGCCCCCTTTGGTGAGAACCTTGTTCCTCCAAGCCACCACACTCTCTTCTTAGCCCACCCCACTCAGTTACCTCCTTTGCCCTGCCCTGCCCTCCCACCTGTCTGAGTTTGCCACCCCTGGACCCACATGTCCTGCGGAGCACAGAGGGAGTACGCAATGAATGCTAGCTACCATGAGGACTATTATTCCTGCCAAGAACCGCCCGGTACCCAGCAGAGCCCTCTGCTTTGGCAAGCTTACTGAAGGGAAGACGGGGACAGAGTAGAACAGGGAGCGTGGGCATTTCGGGGGGAGCAGGGAAGATGGGGCTTCGCGCCAGGCAACAGCTGCCTGACTGTGTGGCCTTGGCCATTCGTCTGCCCATATGTTCAGGGAGGTTTAAGCCAAATGCAGGGGAGTGGGACAGTTTCACTCAGTTCTACCCATGAGCCTTCCTCCCCCAACCCCGCTCCCTAAAACCACGCTCCAGGGACCCCGCTTCTCTCTGAGGTGCTCCCAGCACCACCTCCTTTCTCTGCACCCCTCCAAGCTCTAAGGAAAGATGAGGCTTTCCAAGGGGGAAGCCAGACTTGTTGCCTGTGTCTGCCCAGAGGCCAGGGCTACAGTGGGGGAGGAGGCCTTTGGCACCAAGGGGCCCGCCTGTTCCTCCCAGAGGGTGACCCCACCTCCCAGGGCCTCTGCTTTTCCGTGGATGAAATGGGGTAGGCATGAGATGAGTGCTCAGAATCGTGCTTGGCACAGTGAGGGTGCGCTCCCTGAGGGCTGACAAAGGGAACAAGCAAAACCAGACAGGAAGAATGAAAGTGGGAGGGAGGGTGGACCTCTGAAGCTGCTCATCCACCGACGTTTCACCATGATTTTTCCAGATCCAAGGAAAACCAAAACAAACCCCAACTCACTACCACGGCCTGAACCCCCACTGCCGGCAGCAGCCCTGGAGAACCAAGTGGAGCTGCCCCTTTGGGTCTCTGACCCTCGAAACGTTGACGGGACCAGATAGCCTCCCTGTCTCCCACAGGCTGACCGGTGGGTTTGAACCACTGACCTTGTGGTTAGCAGCTCAGAAGACGAGTTTTCAGGAAGCAATGCTTTGAGGGCAATGGGAGGGTATAAATAATCCCATCTTCTATCAATGGACTCTAAGCCTGTTTTCTCCTCCTTCGCAGCTGAGCATCTCTGAATACAATTAACGGCATGTCCATATTCTAAACGGTCTCCAGAGCTCAACAGCCTGGCGCAGCTCACAGGAAATCAACGATGGCGTACAAACAGTGCCGGGCACAGGGCCTGCGGGTCATACACCCGCACCCTCTTTATCGTCACCATCACCACCAGCACAGTCGACGCTGGCAACCAGCTTGTTTTTTGCTGGCTTCCTCGCTGACAGACCTGAGTGGGCAGAGAGGGGTGGGGGCAGCTCGGACCAGGAGAGAGACTAGCAGTCATGTAGGAAGATATTCAAAGAGGAGGAGCCAGAGGGGTTTTATGTTGTTGCTTTTTTTTTTTTTTTTAAGTAACAACAACAACAAAATCCCTGCTGGAAGCCAGAGTCATATAGATGCCAAACAGGCCAGGAAAGGAGGCGGGACTCCTGAAGCTGGCAGTGAACCGAAACAGGGGTATTGTGCGGCTGCTGCAGGCTGGCTGAGAGGCATTGTTCCAAGCCTGGCTCTGTCTGGGAAGAGGGGGCTGAAGGGGGCCGGGGGGAGTGTGTTCCCATGACTCCCTGGGGAGCAGCAACAATTGGGGCCAGCTGGAAAGCCAGCCCCCCCCCCCATCGGGTGGTGGGCAGCTGAGAGGGCTGAGAAGAGGAGGGGGCAAGGTCAGGGCCAGTTCCTAGGCTTGGGGCAAGGTCTGAGGAGGGGGTGCATGATACTTCCTATGGCTCCCACAGCATTGGGGCAGGCTTGTAGTGGCTTCCTTTAAGACACCCCAAATCTGCCCACTTCTCTCTATGACTGTCGGCGCCCCATTGTTTCCTAGCTGGACCACCACTGTGGGCTCCTGAAGGGGGGCTCTTTCAGGTGGGCCTTGCTGCCAGCCTGGCCCTGTACTCCATTTTAACCTGCAGCCAGAACCCACCCGTCTCAACCAGGGCACTCCTGCCAACCACT